TCCTGCACAACCTTATTCCCCACCCCGATTATTGTTTGATTTGTCAAAAATGGAGTCAATTATGATCAATATGTGGGTTAATTGCTCTAGGCATAGTCATTCAACTATCTCAAACTCAAAGAAAGCAGGCCATATCGACACCAACAAACAACAAACTAAGATATTCCTGATAAATTTAGCCGGTTAAGCTCCATGCATTTATGAAAATTTGCTTCGAATTCAGCTCAGCTCACTTTAGTGCAGAAGAGTTGAAAGGAAATGGGAAGATTTTTGGTAACTAAAGAAAACGACACTTGCATGAAAAATAAGCTCCCATTTGAGCAAAAATGGAAGTAATTTAGCTGTGAACTCCACATGATTTCGACGTTCTCCAAGAGAATTCAAATATTGGGATTTGTAGCTTCCATTATCTTCATCTAGTTAAATGGATCTGCTCGATCTTAGTTCTCTCCTCGTACTCCTCAATTTCTTTTAGGTAACCTCTCCTTGTCCTTTAAACTACGGTTTTTTTTCTAATGTTATCTAACACACTGCAATCTACCTTCCCTAAGAGCCATGAAGTTAACGACATGCATGAGATCTTTGATTAATGAACTTGCGATTCTATATTCGTGAGTGACATTGTTCCGTGATTCTCCATTGGGTAATTAGCACATTNCTTTGATTAATGAACTTGCGATTCTATTTTCGTGAGTGACATTGTTCCGTGATTCTCCAATGGGTAATTAGCACATTAAGTTATATATTTTTAAAGTATGTTTGAGAATATTATTGAATTATTCACAGATAAGTTTTTTTTTCTAATGTTATCTAACACAGTGCAATCTACCTTCCCTACAAGCCATGAAGTTCACGACATGCATGAGATCTTTGATTAATGAACTTGCGATTCTCTCTTCGTGAGTGACATTGTTCCGTGATTCTCCATTGGGTAATTAGCAAATTAGTCCGTACTTTTTACTATTAGTGTGAAAAATATCATTACTTTTCGTTTTTTGGCATTTTCACAATTATTTACACATTTCATTACGCAAAAGGTAATTTTTCTCAATTATAATATGTGAAATTACTAATATACCCTTCTATTTAAATAAAACAAAAGGAAAAGGAAAGAACATAATTGCAAACATAGTCCCAATTTTTTTTAAAAATGCAAACAAATCCTAAATAAATTATTAAAAGGGTATTTAGCACATAACATCCATACCTTTCACTATTATTGCAAAAAATCAGTACCCATCATTTTTGACAATTTACCCTTAATTACACATTTAATTACACAAACTATCATTTCTATCAATTTTCATTCAATTTCTCTAAATTTCTAATTTTTTAATAATTTATTTGAAACTCGTTTGCAATTAGTTCTTTAATTTTTTTTTTAATTTAAATAGAAGAGTATATTCGTCATTTCATAGCTTTTAATTGAGAAAATGGATGAAAATAACGTTTCGTGCAATGAAATGTGGTAATAAAGATGAAATACCAAAAAATGAAAGATAAATACATTTCTACAATAACATTTAAAAGTAAGTACCTTATGTGCTAATTACCATTCTCCACTCATCTCTGTGAACTCCCCCGTTTGGATAGAGAGATTTAAGCAATCGCCAAGGTTTGATTGAGGTGGTTAGGAATTCGGCATAGGAGGTTGTGATGAATTAATATATCAAATAAAATAATACTAAAATACCATATTAATATTAAATTAATACTGGAAATCAGATATCCCAAGGTCTTAGTGCGCAGTTATGCAGCTCTTTTAATTATAAACTGCTTGGAAAATGACATGAATAAATTAATATTATTATTGCTGCAATATCAAATAATTCATTTGGTCACGGGCCCAACCTATAGGGGGCGCCAACCATGGGCCCTTTACAACCATTTTAATCATTTCATTTCAATTAGGTGGGTCCCACATGAGGGCACACCTATTGTGTGTATTCTGGAGGGGTCCTGCGAAACCCCTCCTGTACACCAAGAATAATTCTTTCAGTTAAGCCCTAGTTATTCCACGTTGTAACGAGATGGATAGTAATTTTTTGAATAATATATGGTTAAAAAATGAAAAGTTTATGAATTTATGCGCAATATTATTTTATTGGAGGATGTTTGATTGATAAATAGAGAAGGAAAAATGAATTATAATTTAATGGTGGCCAAGCGAGACATAATTTGTATTATCTTAAAGTTGATTGTCACACAAGAAACCAAAATCTATCACATATCAACGTCTTGTCATGCTTTATCCCATGCATACGAGGATAATTCAAAGAAAATTAAGCTTAGTTGATGGATGTTTTTAGGAATTTGCACTTATACATAAAAAAAAATATACATAATAAATTACATAATATGACGTGTAGAGAAAATATTAGATGAAAGGGTCGTATTTGAAACTGATAAATAATAGAGTGACACGTAGTATTATATAATCCATTATATAAATCTTAATGTATATGTAGCAAGATCCATATTTTTAATGGTGGCCAAACGAGACATTATTCGTATTATCTTAAAGTTGATTATCACACAAGAAACCAAAATCTATCACATCTCTACGTCTTGTCATGATTTATCCCATGCATATGAGGATAATGCAAAGAATATTAAGCTTTGTTGTTGGATATTTTTAGGAATTTGCTACTTATACATAAAATATATATATATATTACATAATATGATGTATATGGAAAATATTAGATGAAAGGGTTGATTGTATTTGAAATTAGCAAATGATAGAGTGATACGTATTATTATATAATTCATTATATAAATCTTAATATATATGTAGCAAGGTCCATGTTTTTGACATCTCTGTTGATAGAAGATGTGTAAAAAAAAAAGATTGAATGTTGATTATCTACTTTTTAAACAGTCTAATGAAATTTTGTAGCGTGAATATTTTGACAACAAAGATTCATCTCAAGATTTTAGCGTAGCATGATTGGCAACTTTGTCATCTCATACGACGCCATTATTTTGTTTACCAAAGGAAAAAGCGATGGGGCCCATCTCGTCTCTAATTAATTTGTGTTCGGGCCATTTTGTTGAAAGTTTCGAAATGGGTCATTTCAACATAAAATTAGATATTTACACAATAAAAACCTCGAGGCTTCCTATTGAAATTTGGTGGAAAAAGAAAAAAAGAGGAAGAATAATAATAAGAAAATCATAGTGAATAATGACATTTATGTCAAATTAAATTAAAGAGAAATACGTGAATCGATTATTTACGAGGAAATTGGAGATATAAGTAACGTTATAGCCTCGAGCTCCAACTCAAGGGTTTAACTAAAAACTTGTTAAGCAAGTTGGTCGCACATGGTATGAGAAATTTGGTATGGGTAGCTTGACTCGACAAACTAAGGCTAATAAGCCCCTGTTTGGTTCTCGTTATTTGAAATTTTAATCGTTGGAATATTATTTTTTTTGAAAAATGTATTAAAAAAGCAGAAAATTTTTGAGATTACGTGTAATATTATTTTACTAGAGAATATTTAGTTGATAAAAAGAGAGATAAAAGTGAATTATAATTTTAATGAGAGCAGAACAGTGGCTAAACATTCTCATGACTTTAAGACAATTTTAGGATGTGTTTGAGCCAC